CAAATGCTGGGAAACATTCTTTGTAAAATGTTTAAACAGTGCTCAGAATGCCAGAATCTCCCTTAATTAACTCATTCTTCAACCCATTTTTATCTGCATAAATCACCATCTTGTCGGTTTGAGAAAAAGCCTCCCAGACTGCTTTTATATGTATCTTCAAACACTTGTGTACATATGAAAAATATTTTCATATTACATATTTCACTTTAATACATATTACATTGAACATTCTACAGATGAAGTACTCTTAATATGTTTTGTGTGTAACTTTCCAGAAACTGAATATATACAAAAGTGATACACAAGAGCATCTATGTGTGTGTGTGTGTCTGTGTGCATATATATATATTCTTCCTTTTTTTTTTTTTCTGAGACAGAGTCTCACTCCATGGCCCCAAGCTAGAGTGCTGTGGCGTCAGCCTCGCTCACAGCAACCTCCAACTCCTGGGCTCAAGCGATCCTCCTGCCTCAGCCTCCCGAGTAGCTGGGACTACAGGCATGCGCCACCATGCCCGGCTAATTTTTTCTATATATATTAGTTGCCCAATTAATTTCTTTCTATTTTTATAGTAGAGACGGGGTCTCGCTCTTGCTCAGGCTGGTCTCGAACTCCTGACCTCGAGCTATCCGCCCGCCTCGGCCTCCCAGAGTGCTAGGATGACAGGCGTGAGCCACCGCGCCCGGCCTCTTTTTTCTTTTTTAAAGTAAAAAGGTTTATTTTATCCTTTTGGGGGCAGGGAAGGGGGCAGGGAGACAGCATGGGATCCCAGAGAAAGAGAAGGGAGACCCAGCCCTTTTTTCCTTTTTCAATTCAAGTTTGAGTAGGACTATGCTGCACTCACTGTTTTGACTCTTGCGTTTTAATTCAGTATTTCTTGGCCAGCTTTTTAGTGTTGGCGCATGTAAATAAGCCCCAGCACATGGGGCTTATTCTTTTTAAAGGTTCCATCTTATCCGATCATCCTGTGGATACAGGATAATTTAATGAGTCTCCTGTTGACAAACACTTAGGGTGTCTCCGGTCTTTTGCTACGCACGCAAGGCCACCACGGACTCTGCACATCTGGCTTTGTCCATAGATGTCGAATTGCTGGGTCACCTTTGAACAGCAGGTGCAGCATTTTGTCTCTCAGCTGTTCCACAAAACTTATATAGGACCTGGAAATATGTGGAAACCAGCTGCATTAGAAACCCACTTTTATTTATTTACTTTTTTTTGGAGACAGAGTCTCACACTCTGTTGCCCGGGCTCGAGTCCTGTGGCATCAGCCTCGCTCACAGCAACCTCAGACTCCTGGGCTCAAGCGATCCTCCTGCCTCAGCCTCCTCCCAAGTAGCTGGGACTACAGGCATGCGCCACCATGCCCGGCTCATTTTTTCTATATATTTTTAGTTGGCCAATTAATTTCTTCCTATTTTTAGTAGAGACGGGGTCTCGCTCTTGCTCAGGCTGGTCTCAAACTCCTGAGCTCAAACGATCCTCCCGCCTCGGCCCCCTAGAGTGCTAGGATGACAGGCATGAGCCGTCGTGCCCAGCCAGAAACCCACCTTTTAAAAGAAAATAGCCTCTATTAGTGAGCGCCAACTGTGTACTCAGCATCGCACTGGGTGTTTCCTATAATTTCTGAGCTGCACAGGTACCTTCTGGGATTGGTGTTGTTATTCTCATTTTAACAGATGAGGAAACTGAGGCTCAGAGTAGGATAACGTAACCTGTTTTCAATGGGAGAAATACTCATTATTACACTTACTCATTGTTCTAAGGGTCTGAAAACTAGCTCAGCTGGTTGGATCATGGCATTATGGAGATTCGGCCCACAGGAACCACTCAAGTGGAGCTATGAAGTCAAATAGAGCAAAGCAAACTTTACTTTGTCTCATGGCCACAGATTCCTTTCTTACCTCTGCGAAACCAAGGTCAAACACACACCTTGGGCGGCAAGGAGAAAGGGAACAAACCTTTGCTGGTTCTATGCACTTTATGGACGTGGCCTCCTTAAAAGTGCTACAAAACCTACAGACAGGGCCGGGCGCGGTGGCTCACGCCTGTCATCCCAGCTCTCTGGGAGGCCGGGGCAGGTGGATCGCTCAAGGTCAGGAGTTCAAAACCAGCCTGAGCAAGAGCGAGACTCCGTCTCTACTATAAATACAAAGAAATTAATTGGTCAACTAATATATAGAGAAAAAATTAGCCGGGCATGGTGGCGCATGCCTGTAGTCCCAGCTACTCGGGAGGCTGAGGCAGGAGGATCGCTTGAGCCCAGGAGTCTGAGGTTGCTGTGAGCGAGGCTGACGCCACGGCACTCACTCTAGCCTGGGCAACAAAGTGAGACTCTGCCTCAAAAAAAAAAAAAAAAAAAAAATTTAAAAAAACCTACGACAGGGCAACACCTCCATTTTACAGATGAGCAAATCAAGGTACAGGCTTTATGGTTAATTTATTCAGTTACCTGGGCGAAAAATAAAGAAAAAAAAAAAGGCCAAGTCAAAAATCTGAATTAAAGTACTAACTGAAAAAGAAAAAAATAAAAAGGTCGTCCCCCTCCTCCTACTCTTATATTCTGTAGGAGGAAATAAATAAGAGGGAAATTAAATGTGTCAGTTCACATCACTTTGCTTCTTGGCTGAAACACTTTCTGCACTTGGGGCTGACTGGCTTTGCCTGCCATTT